TCGACAGAGAAACCAACAGGTCTCCCACAGCTTAAATTTCAGCCGATTCAGCAGGAACTGGACAAAAATCAAGAACTGTATGGCCAGCTATACAGTTAAAGCTTTGTTGCATCTTGGTGGTCTTTGTAGCTACTCTCAATCCACACTCCAGCAAAGGCTTCATGTCATTTCTCATACCGGGTGTCCTGTCAGTGGACCATGTATGCCTAAAGTGTCTTGAAACAGCCTCTTATAGCCTCCCTAGGAATCTCATGTAACAGGGTGACAATGCAGTTGGGAGACTGGGACAGAGCGTTGTCACCCATAATAGGACAAGGACCTTGTGGAGAAAAAGAGGTATTACCCATGGACTGTTTTGTTTGATACTTTATGGGGCACCCCGAAAGTCCTGGGGTAATACCTCTTTTTCTCCGCATATTCTAAACAATTTTGGATGTGGGGCCCTATTTTATGTTTTATTTTATATTACCACCATAGGACCATTACTTGAACAAGGACCTTCATGGCAGGATTACCAGGTATTATTTTAATAAAACTGCAGATTTGAAAAGATTGAATATGACTTTTGAAATGACTTTAACATGTTAAAGCTTGTAAGAGATTTTAGTGATTTGGTTGACACATGTTCTGAAGAAAACACATTCTCTTTAACAGAACCCCATCTGTACAGCACATTCTATATGTTTGCATTTCCCCCTAATCACCAGTGTAAACCTACACACAAGTTTGGCAACACTTGGAAAAACAGTGTGTACGGATTATCACACACCTTCTGGTATTACAATGATTAAATTCGACATTTTTCAAACAGCTGGCGCAGCAGATTTCACAATTTATGGATCTTACGAGGCAGGAACGGTGCTACAATATGGCTCCATTTTGTACCCATGAGACTCTACTTATGTGGCAGGATATTTAGATGTAGTCAAGAAAAATGTTTCGTTTATTACTGTGAATATTATTCCTGGCGAAGGGGAACTACTTATACATCAATTTTAGCAAGCTTGCATGCTGAGCCGAGGAGAGAAAAATGCCTCAATCTGTGTGGGTGTTACGTTGTTAGAATTACATGAAAATGTCTGTTAGGTATACAATGAGGTCCTAACAACTTCCTCAAGTACAAGGGGAGGTCTACAATTTGATGAATCCAGTTTTCCACCTTAGAATTCCCCTTGGCGGTCACGTGGGATGCGAAGCAGAGGGGCCAGTGGAGGTGATCTACAATATTAACCCTACAAACAAATATTGAGCCGTAGACCATTTAATTGCCAAAGCAACTTCGAAGAGCTGAAAGTTGATCTTGTGGATTGAAATACAACCCTCCACACTGCGCATGTGGTCTGTGCAATTTTAAAAGCGACATTATGGTGCCCAAGAACCTCAAAGGAATAAAGCAACCTCATTGCCAGTATTTGTGGATCCATCAAAACCACTTGGACTAGGTTGAAAAAGGACCATCAGAGGTGATAAATGTCTGAAGACACAGTAGCTTGTATATACTTGGGAAAACAACATTTAACATATCCTTCAAAGAAATCAAGCAATTAAGCAAGGTTTCATCATAGCAGGAAGCATCCCCCTGCTGTCACTGGTGAAGCTCTTACTCTGTTTGACCAAATTAACTTGTTGTTTGGTTTTAAGGTCATGAGGACATATTTAGTAATGGCTGCACAAACATTCTACTCTTGCTCAGATTTAAAACTGAACAGTGGAGTTCTTGGTTAGACCATTTGGTTTTGAAGAATCCACTGATATTTGAGGACATCCATGCCTTTTTCATTGGTTCATATTAGACAACAGGGCACTCCATCTGAACCATGGACAACAGTTATGGATATCCTGAAAGATTAGAACTGGGGTGTCAAACTAAATTTCATCATGGGCCGCATTGGCATTATGGTTGCCCTGAAAGGGTCGGTTGTATCTGTAAGACTAGATGTCCACAACATCCCACGACCCCTTACATCAGATGTCAAGAGCCCCCTACCATCAGAAGTCAAAAGTCACACCACCATCCCTTACATCACAGTCCACTCCTATTACCTTGTGCTGCTGCCAGGAAGAGACCGGGGGGCTGAGACAAGCGTGTTTGGAGAAGGACCAGGGGGGGCAGGGAGGGGGGGTGCTGCAGCTGCACAGAGAGGCGCAGGATCTGTAGGAGGAGATCTGCTGCTGACTGCTGAGATGGGGGGGGGGGGGGGCAGAGAAAAGTCTCTCTGCGGCTGCACAGAGAAACACAGGATCTGGTGGAGGAGTTTTGTCTTCCTCTCTGCTGCTGACTGCTGAAACAAGGTGGGGGCAGCTGCAGGAGAGGTTCAAGGTCCACGTGAAATGGCCTGGCAGGCCAGATTCGGCCCACGAGCCTTGTGTTTGACACATATGGATTACAGCTTTGTCCCCATGGTCAATTTTCAGGTGTAAAAAAAATTCCCTGTATTCAATCTACATTTTATTAGGGGAGCTAGAATCTTGGTCAGATTTCAAATGCTGTACAAGTCCCTGTAAACCTGTTATATAGGATTTTCTTCTCATCCTGTTTTTGACAACTGTCATCTGGACACGAGGTGAGGGGAAAATCGCTCCTGGGGACATAAACAGCAATAAAATCCTATCGGAGGTTCTAATCTAGCTTTTCTCAATTTAATACAGATGAACCCTTGAAATAACATTGAGGTCTGAGTGAACCCCTGCTAATAATGGTTATATCTCATAGGATATTAACATGAACAGTAAATTGTGGATACAAGAATAAATAAAAGAATAAGGAATGTGGTATACATAGCCTATTTGACACCCAGGGCTGCTATACACTCACCAGCCACTTTTATTAGGTACACCTTGCTAGTGCCAAGAAAATATCCCCCACACCATTACACCACCACCACCAGCCTGACCATTGATACAAGGCAGGATGGATCCATGCTTTCATGTTTACACCAAATTCGGACCCTACCATCTGGATGTTGCAGCAACCAGTCTGCCCATTCCCCTCTGACCTTGGACATCAACAAGCATTTTCATCCACACAACTGCTGCTCACTGGATATCTTCTCTTTTCCGGACCATTCTCTGTAAACACTAGAGATGATTGTATGTGAAAATCCAAGAAGATTAGCAGTTTTTTAAATACTCTGACCAGCCTGTCTGGCACCAACAACCATGCCACGGTTAAAGTCACTTAAATCTCCTTTCTTCCCCATTCTGATGCTCAGTTTAAACTTCAGCAAGTCCTCTTCTCCACGTCAGTGAATTGCTCATTGACAATAGTGGTCCTTGTAGTACATTCTTAGACTGGTGTTCAGTGAAGTTCTCCATTACACTGCTGGGCAGTACAGTGGGGTCATCCTAGACTTGTGGTTTGTGAAAGATTATCCCACTTACATTTGTTGTCAATGGAAAGGTGCCTCCTTATATTGGTGGTCAGTGACGTGCCCAATTACAATGGTGATTGGTGAAGTTCTCCATTACACTGCAGGTCAGATGAGAACAGTCCCTGTATATTGGTGGTCTGTGCAGGAAAGTCCTGCCTGCACTGGTGTTCAGTGAAGTGCTCCATTACACTGCTGGTCAGTGCAGAATGGTCCTTTTAGACTGGTGGTTTGTGGAGGATTGTCTTAGTTACATTGATGGTCAATAGGACAGTGCCCCCTTACACTCATGGTCAGTGCAGTGCCCAATTACACTGGTGGTCGGTGAAGTTCTCCATTACATTGCTGGTCAGATAAGAAGAGTTCCTTTAGATTGGTGGTAAGTCCCACCAACATTGCTGGTCAGTGCAGAATGGTCCTCTTAGACTGGTGGTTTATGGAGGATTGTCTCAGTTACGTTGATGGTCAATAGGACAGTGCCCCCTTACACTCATGGTCAGTGCAGTGCCCAATTACACTGGTGGTCGGTGAAGTTCTCCATTACATTGCTGGTCAGATAAGAAGAGTTCCTTTAGATTGGTGGTAAGTCCCACCAACATTGTTGGTCAGTGAAGTGCCCATTTACTCTGGTGACCCATGTAGTACCCCCTGACACTGGTGTTCAGTAAAGTGCTCTATTACATTGCTGGTCAGTGGAGAAGGGTTCTCTTAGACTGATGGTTTGTGGAGGGTAGTCTCATCTACATTTGTGGTCAGTAGAAAGGTGAAGTGCCCATTTACAGTGGTGGTCCATGTAGTATCCCCTTACATTGGTGTTTAGTGAAGTGCTCCATTACATTGCTGGTTAGTGGATACGGGTCTTCTTAGACTGGAGGTTTTTCTAGGATTGTGCCATATACGTTAGGGTTAGTGGAAAGTTGCTCCCTTACATTGGTGATAAGTGAAGTGCTCCATTACATTGCTGGTCAGATGTGTACAGTCTCTTTAGATTGGTGGTCTGTGGAGGAAAGTCCCACCTACATTGGCAGTCAGTGGAGAAGAATCCCATTACATTGGCGGTCAGTGGGAAGAATTCTCCCTACATTGGTGGTCAGTAGGAAGAATGCTCTTTACATTGGTGGTCATTGGGAGAAATGCTCCCTATATTACTAGTCAGTGGGAAGAATGCTCCTTACATTGGTGGTCAGTGAGAAGAATGCTCCTTACATTGATGGTCCGTGAGAAGAATACTCCTTAAATTGGTGGTCCGTGGGAAGAATGCTACTTACATTGGTGGTCAGTGGGGAGAATGTTCCTTACATTGATGGTCAGTGGGAAGAATGCTCCTTACATTGATAGGTCAGTGAGAAGAATGCTACTTACATTGGTGGTCAGTGGGAAGAATGCTCCTTACATTGATGGTCAGTGGGAAGAATGTCCCTTACATTGATGGTCAGTGGGAAGAATGCTCCTTACATTGATGGTCAGTGGGAAGAATGTCCCTCTTACATTGATGGTCAGTGGGAAGAATGCCCCTTACATTGATGGTCAGTGGGAAGAATGCCCCTTACATTGATGGTCAGTGGGAAGAATGCCCCTTACATTGATGGTCAGTGGGAAGAATGCCCCTTACATTGATGGTCAGTGGGAAGAATGTCCCTTACATTGATGGTCAGTGGGAAGAATGCCCCTTACATTGGTGGTCAGTGAAGTGCTCAATTACATTGCTGGTCAGATGTGTACAGTCTCTTTAGATTGGTGGTCTGTGGAGGAAGGTCCCACCTACATTGGCAGTCAGTGGAGAAGAATCCCATTACATTGGCGGTCAGTGGGAAGAATTCTCCCTACATTGGGTGGTCAGTAGGAAGAATCAGTGGTCAGGAAGAATGCTCTTTACATTGGGGAAGGTCCTTGGGGTCAAGAAGAATGCTCCCTATATTACTCCGTGAGTCAGTGGGTGGGAAGAATGCTCCTTACATTGGTGGTCAGGTCAGTGAGAAGAATGCTCCTTACATTGATGGTCCGTGAGAAGAATACTCCTTACATTGGTGGTCCGTGGGAAGAATGCTACTTACATTGGTGGTCAGTGGGAAGAATGTTCCTTACATTGATGGTCAGTGGGAAGAATGCTCCTTACATTGATGGTCAGTGAGAAGAATGCTCCCTCTTACATTGATGGTCAGTGGGAAGAATGCTCCTTACATTGATGGTCAGTGGGAAGAATGTCCCTTACATTGATGGTCAGTGGAAAGAATTTCCCTTACATTGATGGTCAGTGGGAAGAATGTCCCTTACATTGATGGTCAGTGGGAAGAATGCCCCTTACATTGATGGTCAGTGGGAAGAATGCCCCTTACATTGATGGTCAGTGGGAAGAATGTCCCCTTACATTGATGTCAGTGGGAAGAATGTCCCCTTATGGTCAGTGGGAAGAATGTCCCTTACATTGATGGTCAGTGGGAAAGAATGCCCCTTACATTGATGGTCAGTGGGAAGAATGTCCTTACATTGATGGTCAGTGGGAAGAATGCCCCTTACATTGATGGTCAGTGGGAAGAATGTCCCTTAAGAAGTGCCCCTTATATTGCTGGTCAGTGGGAAGAATGCCCCCTTTACTGATAACTGAAAAATCATTGGTGCCAGTGATAACATATATAGCAAGAATTGCTCATTACTCAAGCAACCTATAGCAATCTCTGGAGCAACCCTAGTTGAGAAAAGGTGGTTTTAACAACTTTCCCCTTCCCCACACACAAACAGTTCCTGCTTTACCTGACACCCATCAGACAGACAGGAAGTAGGGAGATTATCCTTCACTTCCTGTTCAGCTCCAGCCTGCCATAGACTTAGGGTTCGTTCACACTTGACTAATTTCTAACGCTTGCCAAACTCCCCTATAGCATTTGACAGACATTAGACAGGCATTTGGGAAGCGTTTTTAACGCTCCCCAAACACCCTATGAGCGTTTTTGAGGCATTTGATAGGCATTTGCCAAGTGTTCAAACTGCACAACAAACACTGACAATGAAGTTTAATGGTATTAACGCTCTGCAAACGCCTCGCAAATGCCTGCCAGGCATTTGAGGAGCGTCACCATAGACTTGAATGGGAGGCTTCAACTCCTCCTGACTTGACATGGGGCATTCATTTTGCTGCGGCGCTAACGCTTCAGTGTGAACAGCACTGTGTGCTGCCATGTGTAGAATTTTCATAGGCATTTGAGGAGTGTTAAAAATGCTTCCTAAACGCCTGTCTAAAGCTAGTGTGAACTTAGCCTTTGACAGGCTGTCTGAAGCAGCGCTGGATGTTGCGCCTGTCCATTCCGAGCATGCAAAAATGCCACGAGGGACGTATTGCAGCTGGACAGCAACCGTATGCAACAGGCCTAAGTCTCCTAATGAGGACACAGAGTGTAAGATCTACCCTTCTATACTCTATCCAAAATGTTACAAACATCTGTGGCAATACTGGGAGGATATAGTGAGTATAATTCAGGAAATAACAGAGGTAAACATTCCTAAGGACCCTGAGACTTGCCTTCTTTTCGGTACTGAGTTCTCGGTTAACAAATATAAAAAAAACTGGATTATTGTATTATCTGAATGCAGCAAAAGGACTGATACCCAAGTTTTGGAGGAAACAACAGGCACCGAAAATAAAGGATTGGGTAGAAAGAGTGGAGAAGATATATAGAGTTGAGGAACTTTACCATATGGAGGAAGATAAAATCGAGGTCTTTCGTACAAGACGAGAAAAGTGGGTACAATTTAAAAAGTCAGATGCATATCCAGAATATGTGAAATAGGGAAAAGAAGTGAAAGGGGATAAATATAGTACAATATCAGTATTAATCAAGGAACAGGATTTTTAGAATGATGTTAAAAGTGCATAATCAAAGGGTAGTGGGGGGGGGGGGGGGGGGAATAGGAAAGGGGTGGGGGGTCAAAGATTAAGGAAATTTGTGGGGAATGGTACAATAGATAGGTGGAATGTAATTTGCCTGTTTTATTGGCTTTTGTATATTTAAAATGGTGATTTGAAAAGTTAATAAAACATTTAAATAATAAAAAAAAATTGCCACTTTGATTTTTATCTTTCTGACAACTAAGGGGAATAAACCATTATTAAATAACGGCACACAAGGTGTGGCTGAAAAAACAGACTAAACTAGAAACCATGAGTGAAACTGGGAAACAGAAGATGAAACATTCGGCCTTTCAAAATGGTGAGTAAAGTTGAGACCTTGGTGCAATATGAGCTTTGTAAAAAGCCGTTCTTCAACCAGGTAAGAGATACATCGACGATACAAACAGGGGTATTTATACCTTTATCGTCTCGTTAGGCACTCCTGGGTTCAGGTACTTTATCTAAGTAAGAGGTCAGATCTTGGTCAACGTGTTCAAACACCAGTGTCAGCTTCGTCTCCCTGTCTGTCCGCGATACGGTGCACACATCAAACAACCTGAGGAAGAAAGACAAAGGGAAAGGGACTGTTACTTATTGTCCTCGTTGCTTCATCCTTTAGTATAGGAAATGGAATGAAAAGATTGTTAAAACCTCAGAACAAAAACATAATACATTGCAGCTTACCAGGCCTTTAGTTTTGGTGGCTGCATTAGTTTTTTTTTTTTAAAGGTTTTTTTCCTGCATTTTCATCCGGTGATTCTGCCAGTAGCACACTTCCTGTCCTAGAGTGACAACGTTTACTTACTGCGTTGTATTTTCAAAGAGGCTACATTGTCACTTAGGGGTCTCCAAACTTTTCGGTACAAGGGCCATATTGCGTAACTTACAAATATTCGTGGACAGAAAAACAATCCTCATCTGCATCCCCGTTTTATCAGGGTCCCTTCAAAGTCTCCCTTTTATCAGTATCCTCCTTACACCAGAGTCCCTCCTTGCATCAGGCTCCTCATAAGTCTTCCATACTCCTAGATTGTAAGCTCCAAAGAGCAGGGCCCTCGATCCCCTCATGTTTTGCATTGTATTGGTATTGTTCTGTCACATGTTCTGTCCCCCTTTGTAATGTACAGAGCTGAGTGAACTATTGGCGCTTTATAAATACTATATAATAATAATAATAATACTTCAGAGTCCTCCTTACACCTGAGTCTCCCCCTTACATCAGGGTTCCCATCAGAGTCCCCCTTTACATCAGAATCCTCCTTACACCAGAGACCCCCTTACATCAGAATCCTCCTTACACCAGAATTGCCCCCTCACCTCCTTGTAGCGACCCAAATGGGCCAAAATGCTTGTAGGATCACTAAAAAAGATCCTCCACAGTTAGGTCCCCCTCTGCGGATGATATCCGTCCAAAGCGGTGATATCCCCTTCACTGGTATCAGTTTAAAGCAGCTAGGTCCCCTCCAGAGATGTTTAAATGTGATCTAGCCAACTCACATTAGGATCAAGGTAGAGACATAAAAGAGATCTTCCATAGTGTAAATCTGTTTATTATTCTTTAAAAGACATGTATAGGCAATTGCCCACTTACTTTTCATGAAGATAAACCACGCTGTAAAACCACATGCTATGGGTGTATTTGCATGGGTTTTTAGGTGTAGCAAGATGGCGTCCACGCAGGAAATATGTCACCACGTTCCTACGCGTTACGTCCCGTTATCACGTGACTTCCTCAGGGTCACGTGATAACTTCACAATAATATTCACGGTATACATTTTTTTAGTCACGTATTAATAATTATTATTGTATTCATGCACTAATAGATATTTATTAGGGTAAGCGCTGTACCAGTGTATTTGGAATTGTTTGCCCTAGTATCCATTTGGTATATGGTTGGGTGCTAGCAGCTCCCCACGTTCAGTAGTATTGTTTATTTAGGAGCGCAGGAGGATCATACTGTAGTTCCTTACACCAGAGTCCCCCCTTACATCAGGGTTCCCATCAGAGTCCCCCATTACATCAGAATCCTCTTTACATCAGAGTCCCCCTTACATCAGGGTTCCCATCAAAGCCTCACTTTTACCAGGGTCCCCATCAGAGTCCCTCCATAAATCTGGCCCCCCATCAGTCTCCCTTACATCTGAGTCCACCTTCCACCAGAGTAAGCCCTACATCAAGTTCTCCATCACAGTCTCCCTTTTATCAGAGTCCTCCTTACACCACAGTTACCCCTTACTTCAGGGTTCCCATCAGAGCCCCCCCCCCCCTTGCATCAGGGTCCCCATCAGAGTCCACCCTTACATCAAGGTGCCCATCAGTCTCCCTTACAGCAGAGTCCTTCTTACATCAAGGTCTCCTTCACAGTCTCCCTTATATCAAAGTCCTCCTTACACCGCTGTTACCACTTACATCAGGATCCCCATCAGCGCCCCCCCCCCCCCCTTTGCATCAGGGTATCCATCAGAGCCCCCAATTACATCAGGGCCCCCATCAGTCTCCCTTACATCAGTCCTCCTTACACGAGACTCCCTCCTTTCATAAAAGATCTCTATCACAGTCTCCCTTACACCACAGCCTTCCCCCCCTTACATCAAGGTCTCAATCACAGTCCTCCTTTCACCAACCAGAGTTACCCCTTACATCAGGTCTCCATCAGAGTCCCCATCATTCTCCCTTACATCAGAGTGCTCCTTACACCAGAGTTACCCCTTACATCTGGGTCGCCATCAGAGACCCCCTTATATCAGAAGTGGATACCATAGGCAGCCTGTGTTGACCTTAGTTCTCAATCTGTGCATATCGAAGATACACCACTGACCCTAGCTGACACCACTGACCCTAGCTGACACCACTGACCCTAGCTGACACCAGATAAAATCTTGTAGCAGACTGATTGTGGCCTGTAGTTTGGCAACTTCTGCTCTCAGACAAGGGTACAGAACACCCCCTCACCTTTCCATAATATAGGAAGGAAGTGTTTTGTAGTCCATAGAAATAGCTGAAAGCAATACAAACTGATAACAGTGCGGCACCGTGCAGAGGAAGTCACAAGATTTCTGGCAGGATCACCAGGTATTTTTTTGGTCTTATCGAACAAATATAATAAAATCCTTTTATTGGTATATTCAACAGACCAAAAGCGAACAAATCAGATAAGTGAATAGTTAGGATTTGCATACACTTTAAGCACACTGCATCTGGAATTTGAATCGCAGATCCTGAGCATGTATGCAGCCAATGTACCTAGAACACCTGGTCTGCAAGTTACATCTAGGCCACTGATTTGGAAAGTACCATACATGACAGCCAGGCAATTTTCTGGGCTATCAGGAGTGACAGCCCCAAATGTCTCTCATGTCATCAGTCAAAGTGGGCTTTCAGTATCTTTATAAGTCTGCATGAATAAATTCCCTACATGTCACAGTGTTCAGCAACAGTTTACCAATAAAGAAGTCCTTATAGTTCAGTAGCATATAGGGGAGACTGTGATGGAGTCCAGTGACTCTGCCTAGGCTGCAATGCCATCAGTCTTCTGCAGGCAGGACAGGCATTTACTCAGTCTACCCTCTCAGGCGATCCCTATGACTGTACAATGTAACACTG